TTTTTTACCACAAGCCATTCTCGTGAAATAAATATATTAAAAAATCATAAATTATTCTTCTAGTTAAAAGTTCAGGACCTCCATATTAGATATGAGGATTCAATAAGTCTTCCAGATCAAACATTTGCTTTTGGTATCACATTAGGATCATTAATAGCTCAGAGTTGTGATCAGAATTGGCTACCCAAATTTATTCATAACAGTCAAAATGAGGAGTCTTTCAAAATTTTAGAACTAAAAGAATTTGGTTTATATTGGATGACTATTAATGATAATGAATCTTTAGCTTCCTTGGATGTTTCTACACTAGCAGTAAGTAATTCTTAAGTTGCTAAAATAAATGCAAACATTTTTAAACATTTATTATTATTTAGGAATCAATGAATAGAAGTAATTTAGAGAAACACACAAGAAACTACTTGCTACCTGCTGTAAGTGCCCAGGCTCATTTGAAAAGAAATAACAGTACCAAAGCTTTAAGGTCATCTACTCCTAGATATTTTTGTGATGTGCTTCTTGAGGAAGTACAGTTGTCATTACAAGATGTAAGTAATTCTTTTTATTCAGTAAGAAAGCAGAAAGTGTTACTTTGCCACTTGAGACAGAAAGTTGCCTGTGTAAATTGCACACAAGATTTTTTCTTTTAAGTAATAGATATATTTCAAAAAATCTTGTCACAGGAGTTAATATTGAAATTCAATGTTAAATACATATTAAAACAAAAACTGATACAACTTATTTAATATTCAAAACATTTAATAATTTGATAACTACATACATACAAATTAAGTTGAACTTCATTTATTGTAACTGAACTTATTCAGACAAAATTGTTTTTAAGAAGTGGAAATATCAAATGACATTTAATTTGAAGTATTGTGTATTGCCTACTTTGCAATAATCACAATATTTCTAGTGGGTACTGTTTATAACTATGATTTAATTTTGTTTTAGATCTATTGTGAAAATATAGTAGAAATTAATTTTTATTTACTAAATACCATTCATTTGCCTGTTCAATTTACATGCTTCTAGCATTATATTGTTTTATTTAACAGTATTAAATTTATAAAGTTACTAGTTTAATAATATGATCATCTTTGTTTTAGTGGCAATACAACCAAATAATTAGTTGCGTACGTGGTTTACAAGATATAAATAAAATTCGAAATTATCGTCATTTTAAGCCACTATCTACTATAAAACATGATGCTAGAGCCTGGTGGCTTTACGCTATCAGTTGTTTCTACCCAACAGGCAAGCAGCCATCTATATGTAAACCAAAACCGACATGGGAGTCTTGTTTGAAAAGAGCAAAGGAGAATGTAAAGTATGTCAATGTATGCAAAAAAATTTTAACAGCTCCGAGTATAACATTATCAGCAGATGAGAAAACAATTAAAGAAGAAGTTGAATGGACTAGGGAATATGAAGATTTAAAAATTCTAAGGAAGGTAAATTAATGGGAATCTTCTTAAATGTTATCTTAAATTTCCCTATTGCTTTTATCTTTTTTACCATTAGGAAACATATCGAAGGGACATAAGGCAGGACCTCGTAAGTCGCAAAATCGACATTTTTAAGGAGACGAAAAAAACGATTGACAAGTGCATAGAACAATCCATTTTACTCTATAATAGCACTAATATATACCCATGTTTTGTTTAAAAATTTTACTTTCCCTATACAGTAAATATAGCGAAATGTTTTAATTAAGATTATCATAAAATATAAATTTCAGTGGAAATGTTAAGTTACGAGGTCCTGCGTTGTGGCCCTCAATATAGGGCAACAAGGTATTTTCTTTGAAACGTATGAATGTATGATTATGAAATTGTAGAGCGATGAATGGGACTGTATTCTGCATTTTTTAGAGGACATGTAAAGTGTATGTGACATCAGCGTTTAGCGTACCGCTGCCATCTTGAATTTTATATCTGAAAAAAGCTTATTTTTTCCTCTTTTCAAGAATACTAAAAAAGTATAACGTTACTAATAGAATCCCATTCATCACCCTAAAATACCTTTTTGCTAGACTTTTTCGTTACCCTGTATATTTAGGAACATTTTGTTAAAATAACAAAGCGTGAGAAAAATAAACAGAACCATAAAGCAGATAATGGTTTTCTAATGTAATTATGTTCATGTCCTTTTCTGTTACTAACAATAAGAAAAAACCATAATCGTTTTTTTATGATAGAGATATTATTGCAATCATTAAAAATACATAATTAAAATTATACTTGTTTCTGGATTTCCTGCAAGTATGCTTGAACCGCCATAAATTTGATAATGGGTATTATTTGATTTGAGTGGAAAATTTGGTTGAGTAATATGATTTTTGTGTTTTAATTAAAAATCCTTAAAGATTAAAATATTAATAATACTGGTTGGTATTTACCTCAGATGAATAAGAATTGTTTGTTTGTTTGTTTGTTTGTTTGTTTGTTTGTTTGTTTGTTTGTTTGTTTGTTTGTTTGTTTGTTTGTTTGTCTGCAATTAAACCACTTTTCGACTTTTCGTTTCGATTTTATGCCAATTTCAACTTTACAATTTTTTTTTTGCATATCAACCTTTTCGCCGACACAAAAAAGGCTTGCAATATCATCTCAGATTCAGAAAAAACGCATTTAAACTATATCCAGAATTTAGTTGAAAAACAAATATATGGTTACCAAAATCCTTACACTGGAAGTAGCAAAACCGTACAACAGAAAATGCTTGCAAAGGGATTTTTTTATTGATATTGACGTCTCGAAGAACATATTTCATTGCAACCAAAAAACGAAAAATCCATTGATATGCAACTTTACTTTGAATTTCACTGGTCGCATGACCGCTTCCGCCAGCGGGACCTAGTACATGTTGCTCACCCCCTTTCCTGTATCCAACTGCAAATAGCAAGCAAAAAACTCGACGTTTCACTCTTGCAGTCAGTTAAGGGACTATTCAAGGGCCACAAGGCAGGACCTCGTAAGTCGAAAAATCATTTTTTTTAGGAGTTGAAAAAACGATTGACGAGTGCATAGAACAATCCATTTTACACTGTTTTCTGTAATTTAATTTAATCCATGTTTTGTAATACTTCCCCTATACAGTAGATGGAGCGAAATGTTTTAAACAAGATTATTATAACATATAATTTTCAGTGAAAATGTTAGTTACGAGATCCTGCGTTGTGGTCCTTGTATTACATTCCAACGCTTTTGTGTATTTGTCCAAATATACTTAATCCCTTTTTAATTTTGTTTGGGAATTTATTCACAAAGATATACTAAAATTATTTTCAGTTAGCAATGGATTCAGTTAAACTTCCTAAATGGACTTCAAATGTGGATGAATCAACTAAGGGCAGAAACATGCTTGTTAAATGGTTTCCAAATTGGATGGGTTGGTATGGTGGTTCTGTAGAAAATAATCCAACAGTTCGGACTGATGCTGCTGAATTAGAAGGTGAAATACTACAAGTTTTGGCAGATTCTGCTGAAAATAACACCAATTTAAATAGAGATGCTGTTTTTGGGAAACTCAATTTTTGTTTGAAAACTGGAACGTTGAGTTTGTGTACATTTAACAAAATTACCAATGCAAGGTAGACATTTTTTTTAAATTCATTCTACTATTTGCTGTTAAGCCCTACATTGGCATCTTGTATTCAACTGTGTCAACAATTTTAGTTGTTACTAGGTTGGTTTGTGATATATGTATTTAATTATTAAATTCTTTGGACCAAAATAAATACATAAATATTTATGTTTTCTTTTTCAGTTCATCTATGTTAGAAATGGAATTTAAAAATTTTGTACTGGGTTTTCTAAGCAAACCTCGTTTCAATTCGCATATTATTGAGTTGTCTCTAGATGCTTTATTTTTAAAAGACAAAATCAGCCAAAACACCATGTTCCCAATTGTAGTAGCTCCCTCAGGAATTGACAGATTGTCATCAGTACAAATTAGGGGCGACAGAACAAGCAGTACAAATAAATCTGAATACATAAAGCACCATTTATTTTATTTAATCTACGAAAAGAAACCTCAAAACTCAGGAACTGATTTTAGGTAAGGTAAATATACAAAATATGAGATTAACTTTCTCTTAAGTACACAATTCAAAATTAATAATCTAGGAAATATGATAAATAAATGTTTTTACTTTTATTCTTATTAAAAAATAGATATAAGGAAGTTAGACCCGGTTGCAAGAATGCTTGTTAAATTTCTCAATAGCTAATGATCTCATAATTTAATTTAAAGTTCATGTCATTGAGACATATAACATTCTCAAGCTCTGTCAAAGTTTATTGGAGCCATACATTTTATTTATTTGTGTATTTAATGAAATTACCGCCAATGAAAATACAGAATAATAAAGGTATTAAATATTTCTTATGCTAAAAGTTAAACTAAATTAGATTAAATTTTCAATTAACTATTTTTTTTTTTGTATAAATATAAATTCAAGAGAAAGTTTAAACAATAACTGAAACAAAACACATTCAGATATGAATATTAAACAAATGTTATATTTTACACTTAAAATTAAAGAAAAGCAAAATCAATTTTATCATAGTATTTATTTGCTTTTCGAAACATTCTGATTATTTTCTTTTAGTTATAACAGGAACGTTAAAAGAGATATATGACACAGTTTCAGGAAAGTCAACTTTGATATCATTTTATATAGATACATCAATGATGCAAGAATTCTTCTATAGATACATTAATAATATTTCTTTTCTTAATTTGCTATAATTATATTCGCCTAGTCTCCAATCTAATCTATAAGTAACCACTTTCAAAAATGTATTTGTATTTTTCCAAAAGAAATAAAACACCGATTACAATAGGCACAGTGTCAATATGTGGTACCTGTTTAAGCTGGAAATTACATTATCATATAAGAAACACTCAGTTTCTACATTGAACAAGGTATAGGGCATGTTATAGTACGTAGTACCAAATACATAAATATAGAATATCTACCAGTCTGGTAATACTTTCGGAGAGTTCATGAAAGGTTTTAGTGGATGATCAGTTTCAATCAGAAAAGGAAAATGCCAAACGGAAAACTGAAGGTAATGCATCAAAACCTACTAGCATCATTTGGGGGCGACCGAGAAGAAGAAGTAAACCAACACCAATAAACACCTGACCTTGCCTTTAAAGAATTTATGGGTACATATGGAAGTACCGGGAAAGCAAAATATGGTGTTACACCAGAGGGACAACAAGATCTGGTTAAGCTTCCAAAAGACTACTCGCCAGTCCATAGCACTCCTGCCAGTATCAACCTTGAAACTTCAAGATGGATCACGGTACCTTTTCAATTTAGTAACAAAGAATACTTTCCACGATCGATCCACTTATCATGATATATGGGAAGCACGTACTGGAGTCCAATGTACAGAGACTAGCCATGTCAAAAATAGAGTGCAAACAGCTGGATTGGAGGCTTATTATAAACATGGTAGAAGTAATCTTCCAATATACCGGAGTCCAATTACTGGTATGTAGCCTTTCGCCCGGTATCCAGATTACAACAAAAACCGTTATTTGTCGCTTCCATGCAACTGAAAATTGTAAAAGACGATTCAACCATTCAGTTCTAGTTCTGTAAAAGTTCCAGGAGGGACCATTTTTTAAGGAGAGGGCTAACGTTGTGCGAGCAATTTTAGATCAGTACGATCCTGATCTAATCCGTTCTCCGCCTTATTTGGGCCTCGTACGGCTTCCACTTTTCCCATTACCAAGAATGTTCGATAGAATATGTCAACCTCTGAAACCCCCAAAGATACTCCTATGGAACTCGACAGTCGTAATAAATAATCATTCTGGAATGCACTAGAGCACTAGACCCTTCAACGAAACATCTCAAAATTACAATTGTTTACGAAAGAAAATGTTGGGTGTCTAGAATATTCGATAATAAGTCTGAAACGGCATATTTTTATGTAAATGACCCAACTTTGTCGTTTAAGGCAGTTCAAGTTGAGAGATCGTTCAATACAGATTAATATTGTTAATATAAATTAGTATATTACTGTTAGCTCTTAATTTATATTTTTAAATTTACGCGCCACCGACCAACGAGCGCTGCGAATGTTTTGATAGGTCCAGACATGCTGAGTTTACCGAGTAAAGAGTTGGCCACAAGCGGCAATCGCCGATTGTATTCTGACAATAAATGAGATTAATTTAATTATCGTGTTTAAATGTAATTAAAAATGAGCCTGAGTGATCAAATTTTGATAAATAAATAAACTTAACTAAATGTGATATAAATTGTTATATAGGTATTGAGTATAAATAAATTAAGTCATAAAATAAATTAAATAAATAAATGTTACGTTAGATAGGCTAGGAATATTGGGAGAAACAGCAAAAGTTAAAGAAGATTACTTTAGAGTTATACCAAATTTTCAGAAATTTTACTTTTGCTGTTTTTTGCAATATTTCTACTCTTCCATGTGATACCTACATATTTTTTACTTAATATGCATAAAATTTTAGAAGTCTCATTTCTAAAGTTTTTTTGTGCAGAAGAATAGATTATTCTACATAACCGATTCCAAGATCTACAGCCACGGAATTTTCAAAACGATAAATATACTTTACAATGAGTTGAATAAGGTATAATAGGAACATGCACATATCAGGCAGATACTAATCTTGCTCGTCGTGCATAAATCTGTGTGATGTGATGTATGTAGTGGGGCGAACAGGAGTTGAAATTATCGATGCTAGCTGAGAGAGATTTCTCTGTTATGCATCTGTTCTTATTAAACTGTATTTAACTCATTGCTCATTGTAATTTGTACTCTCCGAGTTGAAAATTCCGTTCCTGTATATGCACAATGTCATGTGGTTGATAACTTATTTTGAGTAAAAATATCTATAAGATCTTGTATTTTCAAGTGGAATATATTTCTGAGAAATCTACTGAATTATCCTGAATTATACTTCCATAAATTATATGTTGGTTTTCTCCCCATTGAGTCCCAAACATGTTTAATTTCGTTAGAAACTGCTCGAGCAGCGTATAAAGTAGACTGGCAATGTTGTGCATGACCTGGAAATTTAAGAAATGGTTGCCAATTTGACCGCATTTAAAAAGCTTTCATTGTCAAGTCGGTACCACAGAAGGATTCTTCTTTAATCTTCAATAAATTAAGTGTCTTTTCTCAACTCTCATCTAAGCAAATTTAAAAAGGAGGATCGGTAAGAGACTTTATATACCCCGTTCCTAACATGTACAGTATTTCGGCCTATAAGTATAGTTGTTTTGTATGACATATAGAAATCAATCGATGATGATGAATGGAGTTTTCCTCAAGTCAAATGACACCTATCAATCATCTCTAAGTTGCTCCAGAGCACAAATGCAAATAATATAGCCGTCCTTCCCTATACAAGCTCTTCAGTTCTTAAGGTGTTCACTCGTAAGAGGGTGAACCATTGGCAGCGGAATAACTTTTCTTGGGAGTGGGCTTGTACCTTGCTAGAGTGGAGTGATCTTTAAATCCAATGCGCAAATCGGGTCTACCTTAGCACAATGGGAGGGGCTAAGCCCTCCCCTGACCCTCCTTCCGTCGCCAATAGGGTAAACTATTGGAGAGAGCATTATTGGATTTTAGCCAAGAGACCTCATTCTCGCTGAGGGAACATTCATCAATCCCTGATATTTTGGATATTAAAGGGAATGAGCTCTGTTGGGACCCTTTCCATGTTATCAGGCCCAAATTCTCAGAGTAATTTTCTGAATATGTTACATCTTCAGTATTGTTGCCTTTTTTTTATCTATGTATGCATGTATGGCGAAAGTTCCAGTTTTTGTAGATTCTTGATGAATCAGTATGGGTAATGTGGTGATTATGAGATTCTGTTTTGTATATTTTTATTATATTTGAAATTATAATAAATAGTTTTTGACAAGTAGATCTTAAAAGTTTTATATTTATACCCGATTTGGCCATTTATAGACTTGTACAATTTTTTTTTAGGTTAAGTGTAAAGTCGGAAAGTTTAGATATAGTATATCAACCAAATGTAGTGAGATGGTTTATTGAGTTTATATATTTACCACTTCAACGTGATATTGCACAAAATCAAATAGAAGCTATGAAGAAGAAGACCAAAAAAGAACTAATTAAAAATTGGGAGCATATATTTTCTGGAGGCAAGGTAAGATAAATAATTTAGTCAATATTTGTAATTTGTATAATACTATATAACACAAGGGTGCGCCAAACGTAGAAATGGAGCAATTCCATTCTAAAATATGTCTATGAATGTGATAATTGAATCTATTTGACATGGAGTGGTAATTTTGCAACTACATAGATTATGTCACTCATAACGTAATAATTTTCTATGATTTTAGTTTAATAATCGATAACCATATATCGTGTACTTGACTAATAGCTGAAAATCATACTAGGTACATTTGGATGGTATTATACAACATAGAATCAATTAAAAACATTTTTAGAAAGAAATTACCACCCTCTAGTGTCCCTAAGAGCGGTGCTATTTTAGATTAACTCTCATTCCTGTTTTCTAACAAATTTTTCAAAAATGCTTTCTACTGTTAATGTAAATTATTGAGATGTCAAATCTTAAAAATATCATGTTACAGTGAAATAATTCATGATATAATCTATTGATTACAAATAAAAAAAAAATATTTACTACGCTTTGTGCAATTATTAAATATTATATTTATTAACTATGCAATTATCGATAGTCCAGATACCACTCATATTATATGTGATACAAGTACGATGAATCCATCCAATCAGCGTTGCCAAGTGTTCGGTAATTTTCGTTTTTATGTGATGTTTTCGCTTTGGAACCATTGTGCAATAGTATACTATGTACAGGTTTTGTATTAAGCTCCGTTCAAAATAATGTACGATCATTGGTATTGTGGGCATTGGATTATTTCACTTTTAGAAAGTGAAGTATGTGTACTAATGCCAAAGAACAAGTTATTTTGTTAAACCGCACTGTATCAGTATTTTGTTTTTAAAAGAATGTCAAGATTAGTACATTGATGTTATAAAATGATAAGTGTAAATATATACAAAAGTACATTCAGAATGAAAAAAGATTTTTAAAAATATAAAAATACATTTAAAAAATTCAGCTAGGTATTAAATAAAATTCAAATATGAATCGTTGAATTAATTTATATTTAATATAAATAATTTTACACCAATATTCTCTCTCACCAATAAAGCCTAATAATAAATGAATTATTTATCAGTTTTAATTCATAAATATTTTTTTTTTCAGATTTCTAGATCAATTTGGGAACTGGAATTAGATATAACAGCGCCCCAGATAATATTTGTAGAACAATTTAGTCAACAAAATTCTGCGATGGCTGTGATAGATTTTGGTAAATTACATTTGAGAAATAATATAGAAATGGGAAATAAAACAGAATGCAATAAGAATAATGACAATTCAGATAATAAAAATAGCGAGGAAGATGGTAAGTATTTTAATTTTTCTTGATACCTGTGAATCAATTTTCGTTGAAACCAGTTACTGCTTTGATAATATCCTTTAAAAACTTTTTATTTGCTTGTCTTTAGTTTTTAACTCTTGTTTTAGAAACGTATCTAACACCTTGTTCAACACCCCCTGTTAGTGAAGGCAGTATTTCAGGTGACCAAAACATCGAAGAAAATTCTGAAACTGGCGGGTGTTCCAATTTGTCTTTAAATGAATTGAATCTTCACAAAAAGCTCTATGATTCTTATTGCTTAGAACTTACAGATTTGCAGATTTTAATCGGTAGAGTAAAAGACAACTGGAGATATGCTTTGAATAAAGGATCATCTAATTTACATGTTCTGGACAGATTTAGTATATCCTTGCAAATTGAAATAAGACTGGTAATATTTATATCTTTAAAATATAATATTTAGAATAAGTTAGCTTTATAAATTTCCCCTCAGGCTCATTTTTGATCATTTATATACATATATAGTGGTCCTTTCACATATGAGTGTAATTTGGTTTAAATAATAATTTTGGAGAATTTTGCAACATCTGGCAACACTGGGATATTGTTGATTGAATTTAAGTCAGGATTAATAATCCACAGCAGCAAAACTCATTATTAAAAAATAGATCAATAAGTTACGTTTTTTGCATGTTAGTGACGCTAATTTTTATAAAAAATATTCACGTTCTGGGTTAGTTGATATGTAAATACTAAATAGTCTATTTTTTCACTTAATTATTAGGAGCGATGTTGTTAATTGTCAGATATTAATTTTATTAATAAATTTTAATATTCAATTATGAGAAAATGGTTGACGAAGTTATTTTTCTGGATTGTTTTATATTTAATCTTATTTTGTAAGGTTTACGCGTATCAACTAATCCATAAATGTATGGTTGTTTGACTTCCCATGTTTTTAATGACCAAAATTCCTGAAATTTAGTTTGACGTAAGTCCTCATCTGTTTTAGCGCAGAGAAAAGTATGGTTATGATAAATTTTAGAATTTTTTTGGGGGGGGGGGGCTTTTCAGATTAGTCAATGTTTTTCATCACCCTGGCAGGTCTTATTTGTTTTTCATATTTACCACTTGCCTTGCTCACCATACTTTTATATTTTTGTCCCCTCAGTCTTAAATCTATGTTTGCTTGGCGTTTATTGCTTTGCTAGATCTTCTTTTTTGGCCTTTTTCTCTTCATTTCCACATCAACGTCTTCCTCTTATAATTCTGGTTCTTTTTCGCTTGTATCAGTTTCACTGTTCATATTATCTATAGAAATATCCTTTTCTTCTACCGCTTTATAGTCTGCTTGCTTGGTCGTCCGTGGTAATATTTTTTCATTAACTTCAGCGACTATTGTTCCGATATTATTTAAAACACTACTATCTCTTTTGAATTTCGTGCTTGTAACTTGGCACTATTATCCATTTTAACGTGTGATTCATTAGTAAAAAAATCACAAAATGATAGTTTCTGTTCCTTTTCTTTATTAAAGTAATCCAAAATACTTGTAGACTGAATGATTTCATCTAGCGCAAATCCATTAGTTTGAGATTTACTCATACCTATATCATTTGAATTCTGACTTGTTTTCTAAATGTTTATGTCCATAATATTTAAATTTAAATCGAATAAAAAACTGTGTTTTATAGCTTCACCAAGAGTATCATTTTCATTTACGCAAACATTATTATTCGGTTTTGAGGAAGGATTCGCCTTTTCATCGGGTAGGGTATTTTGAACTTGTCAATTCTCTTTTTCTGCCTCAAAATTTTCTGTAAGAAAAATATATGTCTTCAGACTACTAGGTATTAGATGCATTTTTTCAAACTCAACCAAAAAAATTTTTCAATATTTTATCTCTAAAAATATGACTTTGGTACTAAAATTAGTTTAAATTCATTGAGTTAAAAATAAAATTCACAATAAAATTTGTATTCATCTAAGTTTTTGTTCAAACTTACCAGCCTGACTGCTAACATTGCATGCAGTAACCATAAATTGGGTTCTTGAAAGACCCTTAAAACGTTTCATAGTTTAATGTTTTCTGTGGATCTGTCTAGAAAGGAAACTTGAATCAATATTTACAAACCCCTACCTTGAGCTTCAATAATTAAGAATATGAATAAATTTAAAAGCCTGTAAAATGGTAGGCTAATATATTATAGGTTAGGTTTTACACAAATTTGCAAATTTCAATTAGTTATTTAACCTTACCGCAAGTATTTTAAACGCTACCGAAATAGTGCACAAACAAATACTATTTTTTTTTTAGACTAATAACTTGAATTTCTTGTTACGCGAAAAAATCCACTTGTTATTCAAGCAAAATTAACAACAATAACAATACCGTGAAAATAAAACCTGCCATCTAGCTATATGACTGTCACATAGCGCATACCACATTTTGGTAACAGGCGTGCACATAACAGATTTTTCTTTCATCAATTAGTCTATTGTGGATTTGTTTCCTGCATAACTGAGTGTACAGAAAGGTGTGGAGTGCCAACGGATATTAGGCATCCTGAAAAACTCAAAAGTGAAAAACCTCCATATAACAGGTTTTGACTTTTCAGCGATGATATTCTATCTAATAATAATATAATAATAATAATATGTTTATTCAAATATTTTAAAAGTTCAAACCTAAATACATAATGATACGAATAAACATGAAACACCGCAGAAACTGAATACAATCAGTTTGTACGCGGGTAAATATAAGAGGTTAAAAAATAATTAAATTTACAATTACTATCTTAACTTTAAAACAACTATTTATTTACTTATTTATATACATTACTTATCTACAAACACAGGACGAAATCAGTTAATATATAAATTAAAAATAGGGTTACAATCAAAAATAAAAGTCTAATCCGTGAAGTGAGGTCTCAAATAGTTAGTTAGTTTTGTAATTAAGAAAATTTTTAATTTGTTTCAGTTCCTTTGGAAAATAATTAAATAATTTAGAGCTAATGTAGTTGCAACTGTGTTGACCTATTGTTTTATTGCATTTAGGAAGCTGTGTTTTATATTCTTTGTTGCGTGTTTCATAATTATGTTTTGCGCATTGTATTAAAATTTTCTCTTTATGAATATTAATAAGTATTTTAAACGCAAATAATTGTCGTACATCACATATTTTATTCTGTTGATATAAGAGATTACTTGAATATAAAATTGGTTTATTATAAATTATTCTTAACATCCATTTTTGTATAATATGTAATTTGTTTATGTATATATCTAACACTCCTCCCCATCCTAATATACCATACTGAAGCAAACTTTGTACTAAGGCAAAATAAATCATTTTTAGGTGTTGCGTATCCAAAAAGTCTCTTAATAATTTAAATCTAGATAAAAGGCCTCTGATTTTATTCGTTAAATTATGTGCAAGTCCCATCTTAGGTGCCTATCTATAATTATTCCAAGATATCTGATGGAGTCTGCTTCTGGAATTTCACTCTGTATGTTAGCATGTTACAAAGCCTCGAGCCTAGAGATAGAGAATATATTTTTAATATTGACTCTTCTTTTCAGTTTTAACGAACTTTCTGAATATTTTTTTTTTTAGTTGCAAACATCGGATCCACATTATCCCAGCGTTATCCTTAACGCACATCTTCCAAAATTGGTCACCCACATTAATGAAAATAACATAGTATCTGCAAGTAACCTAATAGAAATGCTGTCTGTTACACTATTAATGCCCTCATTCAAAACTGCTGCAGATTTTAGTTCTAACCATATGGAAGTTCCTGGTAAGTAATTAAGTAATTTCAACAATACTAGCGAAATAACTTCAAGATTTCAGTTTTTACATAATAACTTTTTGGAGGGAAATTGGGGCTACTTTTAGGGTATTTTTAGAAGAAACGGGTTCAATAATGAATTATTTTTTGGAAACGTTGGATAAAAATTAAGCCTATTTTTTATTGTAAAATTTAGCCATATCAATGAGCGTGGAGACCTTTTTATCTATAAAAAATTGAAAAGTGACGTATCATTTTTGAAACTTTGAGCTATCGAGGTTTTTTATATTTTATTTTTGTTCCATATTACCACATTTAAGATTAATCTTTCGTGTATTTGTCTTATAGATAGTATCGAATCAAGTATACATGAAGAAATATATTTAGAAGATAATTTGGAGCAAAATAACTTATTAACTATGCAATTTTATATCGATCAAATGTCTCTAGAAATTCAAAGTAGAGGAAGAAGTATAGCAGAATTACAAATCGCCGGTGTAAAATCAACATTTTCAAAGAGGGGTGTTGAAATGAGCATTACTTTTACTGTTCATAGTTTGTTGTTGGTGGATGCATTACAGACTTTTGGTGCTGATTTTGAACTGTTGGTAGCTAGCCATAAACATGTAGGAATGGATTCGATGTCAGGTAGTATTAGAGACAGTGAACCGACATCGCCTATTTCACCTGCTAGTCCTGATTCGTATTCATCCAAAAATGGTGCTACATCCCCTACAGCCCTTACTCAGGTATGTTACATTGTAAATTGTTTATTATTTTTTGTAATTAATGTTATTTCTCTGGGATTAGTGACTATGTCTAATTTATAATCTGTTTTGATTTCTTTAAAACACAATTTTAATATGTGCAGGCTTTGAACACGTTAGCCACGTCACCACCAATAAAGGAATATGGATTTATAAAAAATGAAGAAATGAACACGGAGGCCCTAATTTCTATAGAAATTCAAATAATAACTGGACCAAGACCTATGCAAATTGCAAATATACAATTTAATAATTTAGATATTATTGGTAAGAGATAAATATTTATTGTATTCTTTTAATTTATGAGCAAACATTTTAGCTAATCAGGAAACTTTGGTGGAACTAGTTGGGTTTTTCAGAAGAGTTTTTCCTGAAACAAAGAAAACAACTAATCCAATAGTGAATGTCCAAAAATCTACGGAATCTTTATTAGAAGAATCAATAAGCTCCTGGGGTAACACTGAAATCATTTTTGATTTCCATCGTTTAAATGTTCTTTTACTAAGAGGTAAGCACTGACAATTATTTTCTGATAAATAATTTATGGGCCTGATAAACTTTGACAGATGTTTATAATGTGAGTAGTCTGAAGTTCACGGCACTCAGATATACGATAATACGTTAATTGTAGACGGTTAAAAAAATTCAGGAATGTTTATCAGAGTTGCCATATATCGAAAGAATATTTTTTTTGTAAAAATTATGCAAATAAAATGTTGCTTAACACTATAATTTAGCATTATCATACATTACTTAAGATCATTTGTCTTAGAGGTAAATTACAATATTTAAATTGGAGGCAAGGTATTTAAACCATTTTTAATCAAATCAAACCCGAAATCTACGTAAAAACAATGTACATCTGAACATCCGTGCTAACCTGTCAATTTTTAGTGTGTTGCCCTATATGTCTTAAACCTATGTAAAACATTAAAATTGTCGGCCGGCTGGAAACATTTCCTCCTGTCCCATACACTCTGAAAATCTTTGGAGCGATGTCAGCATTCCATTACACATTCCTGAAATTTTCCAGTATCTACAATTAATGTCAAGGCCTATAGATCTCATTGACAACCTGTCGAAGTTTAACAAACTCATATTAAGACCAGTGGCGGCTCGTGAGATGTGCCATGGCACTACCTTATTTTTGATGCAAAAATATATTTTTAAAACGTCTTATCATATTTTTATTTTATGCATTTCTTTTTATGTTCACATAATTATTTAAAATGTGGCAACCTCGCGCTGCAAAAATCTCCAAGCTCTGGCCGCAACCGGTGACATTTCTCAGCAGGCACTAGGGGAGAAAAAAAAATTTTACCAGCAGCCTATGTGAACAACAGAGATGGGACATTTTACTTGTCTTTAAATGTTAAAATCAAGGAAAGTTTGTGCCAGGCATAGCGCCCACAGCGGTTCAGTTAATCGCGGTTTCTGGATGATGTCAATTGTTGACTGAATTAACGGAGTTTCTTTACGTGCTTTTAAGTTTTTCGTTACGTTGCGAAGTATTAGTGACGTTAATGTGTGTCTTTTTGTTTTCGAAAAACTTGTTTAAATATCTTATTTCCTAATTTTTAATTTATTGTGACAATGAATAAAATTGGCGTCTTAAAAAACTCTTTTAGTGGTTTTTTGCTAGAAGAAAAACTACAAATTAACGAATTAGGCTTGCCAATTCCCGATTTAAAAATTGAAAAACAAAGTGGAAGTGGGCAAAAATCGCGGTGTCGTAAATTTAATAAAACTATTTATGATAAAAATAATTGGTTGTGCGGTTGCCAAGAAACTAATAAACTGATTTGTTTTGTTTGGAGGTGACGAGACTTGGTCAAAAAGGCACATACGATCTTGTCCATATATGGGATAAAATGAAATTCCATTAAAAATCTAAAGTGCACATGAATAATGGTTTTAGCTTTTCCATGCTTGGTAAGTTAAATATAAAAACCCAGTTAAATTCGGCTTATCGTGATGCTCTAATTAAACATAATCAACAAGTGGATAAGAATCGATATGTTTTAAATCAAATTATAAATTGTATAAGGTTTTGTGGAGCTTTTGAGTTAGCTTTAAGGGGTCACGATGAGAAAGATAATTCGGAAAATAGAGGCATATTTAAGGAGCTGGTGAATTTTAGTGCCGGATTAGACAACGACTTAAAGGTTCATATTCAAAGTTCAAAAGCTTTCAAAGGTACCTCAAAAACAACCCAAAATGAACTTCTTGAGTGCATGTTAGATGTTCATCACGAAGAAGTTAGGAAAGAAATAGAAAATTCTCCTTTTGTTGCAGTGATTGCCGATGAAACGACGGACGTTGCTTGTGAATTTCAATTAGTTATAGTTTTCAGATATTTGTGTAAATGACGACCAGTTGAGAGATTTTGGAGGTTTTACATGCTCGATGGACACGACGCCAAATCAATCGCAGAATGCATTTTAAATGTTTTACATCCATTATTAAAACATAGTCCAAATAAATTAATTGCTCAAAGCTATGACGGCACGAATTGAAGAGAACAGCAGAAAACGCGAAGCCTTAAAAATATGTGATGCCGTTTTATTGAAAATAAAAACAAGGTTCAACTTCTCTAGGCATTTGATCGCTTCTAATTTATGTCGGAGAAGTTTTTGGCCTATAGGCATCAGTTCCCGAATTATTCCTCAATGAAACATGTATACAATTTTCATTTTTAGACAAAAATGTGCTTAAAAATGAATTACAAGTACTGTATCAGAGAGACAAATGAAGTACCACCTCCGGAGCTGTCAATTTTATTAAATGAGAAAGGTTTAAATTGTATATTTCAGGAAACTCTTAAACTTTTAGGTATTTTGATAACAATACCTATCTCAACATCTGAAGCAGAGCGCTGTTTTTCAGTGCTTAAACGGATTAAAACATTACTCAGAAATACAATGAAGGAAGAAAGACTTAATGCTTTAGGTATGTTGTCCGCAGAAAAACATTTTGTAAATGGAATTGAAAATTTTAATAATAAAGGCGCGTGTGTAAATACTGTAAATAGGTATAGTTTTATTTTTGTGATTTTCTTGGTATATGGACCTAAAGACTCTTTTTGGTAATAACAAACTGCAAGAACTTTCAGCATTAATTACTGGGGGTAAGTTAATTTATAATTCTTAATTAATTTTACAGAGTTCTTTGATAAATTTTGAGTAATTTATTGGTAAAGTTTAGAATAAGACTAACCCTGACGGCCTGTTTCTTGGCAAAACTTGTGTTAGAAACCCCATAAATAGTAGTCATATAATACATATAAAAGTATCCGTCCTTCATTTATTGTTTTAATTAAAATTTTATACCTATTTTGACAATACCATGATAAATTTTTGCCCCAAGCCAGTCTTTTAAACGACTTTTGGGTAAAAATTTGGGCGTGGCACCCCAAAAAATGTTTCGCCCCCGGCGGGGTTTTCACATTTGTTAAAAATCTGACACTACCATCTCGTATTATCACGAGCCGCCACTGATTAAGACTGATCTGTAATGCGTAATTACTCAGTGGATAGGATATATTGACATCGTGAAAAAGTGTGACAGTAAGGGGACTTGAAGTGCCATGAAATTACAGATGTGTGCAAATTATGAGGGACAAATAATTTGATATTCCATAAAAGCTAAAGTAGATTACTATTAAACTCGTTATGAATGTTTTTTAATGTCATAAGTTTATATGAGACTATAAAATGATTGATTTTACTTGTAATAATAAAATTCTATTGTAATTTGACATACCTGACCTATATTTTATATTTTGTTTTTTTTTTTTTTTTTCTATGAAAGAAACATGTATATCTATTATTGACAAAGGATCATACTTGTACAGTACCAATTGAGTTATACATATAAAATGTTTGTTTACAGTTGTCAGTATTATAATATTTAAACCCTTAAATAGATTCTCCTATTTAGAATAATGGTAAAATATACCACATTTTACATATTTTTACATACCACATATAAAATTTAAAATAAAAAGATTTTTAAAAGATCATGAGAGTTGTTATTAGTATTAAACAATATTATAACAATGTAAAAATACTAAAAAAAATATTAATAACATGTTTCACTCTTATAAAATAATCGTTAATGTTATACACATTATCTAGTAATATATTTTTAAACTTTCTTCTAAGTAGATTGGTGACTTATATATGTTGCAGTTTTTAACCTCTTATTTGAAAGTGCCCTTAGGTAGTTTTTAAGACGTAAACGTTGTAATTTTTCTGTAACAATTGCAAACTTAAATATCTTAAGATAATATTGTAATTACAGAATTTTTATCTAAACTGTATTCAAAGAAATTTTAAATTTTTATGCAAGTATAAAAAATTGAAGAAAATAATATTAATTATTTTACATTTTTTATATAGCTTGTTGAAATTATGCATTTTAAACTGTTCTGAGCATAATCTCATTCTTGCATTGATATTTATATTTTTCATGTCCATATTCTTCAGCCATTTCCTCAACAATTTGCGTAAGAAACCTTAAATAACAAGACCATTATTTAATTTAGTAATATAATCGTAATAATCCACTTTTTTCTCATTTAATAGAAAATAATTATTTGCATTCTTGTATGGTGTAATAACAGTGTAAATTAATATTTTTCTCAGTTTATTTTGACAAAATAGTCAGATTACAAATTATTATAAAAGTAACAGTTTTACTTATGAAGAGTAAGGATATATTTTTCAGTTTGTTTTCTACAAAAAAAGCGCTTCAACATTGTATCCTTGTCTTCGCTTATATTAAAGTTCAAAATTTCACCATATTATTTCCCCAAAATTGGCAGTTTTTGGATCGATTTTTAATCAACTATATCCTATCTATTGAATCCTACAGATGAGTGGTTATTAATTACATATTAAAAGATAGCTAATTGTTAAAACTTTTTATTATCATAGGTGTTATTAAAAATGGAAAACTTCACGGAAAAAAGATAGGGACAGCTACAATGAGCGAAGCAAAAATACAAGCAACAGTGAGTTCAAAATTCGAATTAGAAGGTTCCTTGGGCAGCCTTCAAATATTAGATTTGACACCAGAAGGGCAAGTACATCAAAGTATTTTGAGCGTTGGAAACGATCCACGTTCAGATAATTATCATTCTTTGTATACTTTGTCTTCAGAAGAAAAAACGGCGCTTAGTTTTAAGATAATTAAAACTGAAGTAAAAGATGCTTTAGATGTAGCAGTCCGTATGGCTTCGGTTTGGTATACTCATTCTCCTCATTTCATATTAGAGTTACATTCGTGTTTATCAGAGTTTAAACAATACTTAACGAATTTAGCCAAAACTATTAAAACTGCCGCTACGGATATGGCTCTCGGTCTTGTCAATATCAGAACTGAAGCTTTAGTACAATCTATAAATTTCAATAAAAACACAACCGGCTCTACATATGGTAGCAGTTTGTCTATTGCTGAGAATTTTACTCCCACCAAAAAGCGATCTCCTATAAATTTTTTCAGTAAGGATACAGAAATATCATCACCTTGCAGCCCTATAGACGATAACGAATTAATCATAAATCTTAATTTAAATATTGAATTGGACAGCCCTGTGATTGTTTTACCACGAAATAATGTCAGCAGTGAAGTTTTTGTAATACATTTAGGAAAAATTACAATAAACAACGATTATTCAGATGAAGTAAAAGCAAATTCTACCCACTATAGAAACGAGCTTTACAACATCGATGTTAAAGATATGAATATTTTCTCTTTGGATATTAAAAGTAGGAAAAAATTGGAACCAAAATCATTTAAACCGGATATACTTTATAATTGTAAAACTGATGCTAAACCAATTCTTCACGACACAATTTTACAATTAAAAATCGAAAAAGAATATAACAAACCATTAAATAATTTCGACCAAGACATAACTTTCGATGAGGACATGCTAAAAACAAAAAAATACATACAAATATCTGGAAGCATCGTGACGGCTCTTAAAGTTTCCTTGACTATGTCCCAGTACAAACAAATCTGGGATACCTTACAGTGGTTGTCCTCTATCAATTTTAGAAATAGCGAGGTGGCTTCTAGAATTCATTCTAGACCGAATTTTGTTGCTGATAGTATTAAAGAAGAAGATAGTGGTTTAAGTACACTTAACATGGATCCCCATGTTCGTGCAAAGATGTTTCAAACCTTTAGTGCCAACAGAAAAAGAAGTAGTTTGCCCAGTTTGGTTGAAACTAAGATATGTTTTGATGTGTCTTTATTTACTGTTGAACTTAAAGGTATTGGTCAGAGTCTTGTGAACATATCGTTTGTAGATTTTGCTTTTAAGTACGACAAATGTCATGAATATGAAACAAACATACAAATATCTTTGCGTTCTTTATTTATGGAAGATCTTCAACAACCCTTAAACAGCAAGTATAGGGTTATAGTAGCTTCTTCGTCTGGTAGTGAATCATCTGCTGGACATACTTCAATATCTCGATCTTGTCCAGTTGTAAGTTACCCTCCTTATCTTAGAAGAGTTTCAGCCAGTTCTTTACCAGATCATCTGGAAGCAAATGAAATTTTTGGATTAGAAGATCATTATCAGTTCCACGATACAGTTGCACCTAATAATGAAGATTACCCATTTACTCCTCCCCCAAGTCCAGAAAGAGCTAGATCAAGGGCCGAAAGAAATTTGGTTATCATCAGTACCCTTTTGGTTGATCCTTCTGCTCCAAACTTTCAGGAATATTACAATAGTGTTCAAAATGCCACATCCATAGATTTCAATTGCTTAGATCTTATCATTAGCAATAAATCTTGGGTTATCGTGCTAGATTTCTTCAGTTATTCCCCAGAACCGGTCTTTTCCAACACCGGATCAAATGAAGACTTAACGAATCAATTTAAAAAAGAGAAAGTTGTAACTAACATAAACATAAAATCATTAACAATCGTCTTAGCTGAACAAGACCGAGAAATTGCTAAAGCTAACGTTTCTGATGCCGAAATTGAAATCAACAATACTGAAAATTTAAAAGAGGTCGATGCAAAATTAGGTTCGCTGTCTTTACATGATTTAACTTTGAATGGACAATTGTATAAAGATAGATTTTTAACTTCTGGATCACAAGCAGTCATTGTTAAATATATAAGGTAAGAATTTTAAAATGATAAAATAAAATAACTATGTAAATATAATAAAAAAACTAATTTGTAGATATTATGCCGGCTCCAATAAAGATTATGATGCACAATTAATTTTGAAAATGTCCTCAGTTGTATATGTTCACACAAAAAGGTTTATAGCAGAAGTTTTGGCGTTTTTCAAAAACTTTGCCGATAGTCAACAAAAGGTCATCAAAGGTATTCAAGCTGCCAGAACTAGACAACATGTAAGTTGAAATAATATAGTTTAAGAAATTCATGATCAGCAAGTAGCGATACTGAAACAAGCTCAGAAAGCATCAGTTAGAAAAAATTGTCATCAAATTATTTTTTTATGTATGATAGAGTATAAAAAGAAAAACTAGCTTACTGGCATTTTTTCTTCACATATCCTATTTTTTTTTTATTTAATATGAAAGGTCTAAATGGAATTCTGCTTGGCATAATGATCGCCATACCCTTTTGCGAAGTCGGGTAGGGAATCGGACCCAGAGGTTATAATAATTTGTATTTCTTAGAAAATACAAAATAAATAAAAATTAAATTGTATATATGTTACCGTCAAAGATGATATTTCGATCTTTAACGATATTGGCCGGTTATAGTCGTAAATCTCGTATTTGATTGGGCATAATTGATAATAACCGGCCAATAACGTAAACATCCGCTTAAATTGGACAATGTTGATAAACTATAAATGACATACCTTTTTTACGACTCTGCCTGGGCGTTATCGTTAGCGCCCACTTATGTGTGGGCCGCAAACTGCAACGATTTGGATTTGAATAAAATACAGGGTTATGTTTTTGTTTACATCGCTATTTTTGACTTTCCGCGCGGGCGATTGATTGGATATTTCCAAAGTTGAAAATAAAAATTTTCACCGTGACTAGCAGTACATCGGATGTACACGAATTATTTGTACATCATAAATCTAACCTAACTTTATTTCAGATGATGGAGTGGAAGACTTAAGTATTTTTCTGTAGTATTTTATAAACCTTAAAAGCAAATTTCACATACATGAACAAATAGTAATAATAATGCCGTGACAACAAGAAGACGAAGGAACGACTTCTCGTAGGGTGGCCACCAGAAAATTTCAATCCATCCCTGGCTACGCCGACCGGCATAAACACCAACGGCCTGGACACAGCTCACCTACTCTGTCAAAAGGAGACCGATGTACAAATAAAGCGCGTACATCTGATGTACTGCTAGTCACTGTCAAAAATTTTAAGTCACAGTACCAACTTAATTCTTTAAAAGCAACTTCGTCCACTTATTGATAGTCAATGTCATTAATGGCCGGACAAAGAACAAAAAATAATATATTTTCAACATTGTCCACTTATTGATGGTCGATGTCGTTAATGACCGGACAAAGATGCAAACAAAAAATATTATCAAGATTGTCCACGATTAATGGGCATTTTCATTACTGCCCAGATAATAACGATATTGGCCAGCAAATATGGCTGCTGACGTTAGTGTCCGGTCAATATCATCAATGTCCAATTTACAATACTGCCCGTAACATATATATGACAAATTACAAAATTGTTCAATATCAATAAAAAAAGTAAAGTAAAGAAGACATTTACAGGTACGGAATATTTAACACGGGACCTATACCGATGTCACTTGTTGCGCATAAATGTCTGATGTATGTAGTGGGGCGAGCAGAAGTCGAAATCGTATCGATGATGGCTGAAAGCGGTCTCTCTATGTTCCTATTAAACTGTGTAAGGTATAACTTCCATATATTGTGTAAGAGCTCAAATGAGAGGCAGGTAATCAAATCTAAATAGCTATATTGTACAAATATTTACATCTCATTGACAAAGCAAATAACACATAAAAAAAAAAGAAATAATGTAAAATTTACAGTTTAAGGTGGTTCACTCGCGACAGTCTTACATAAAAATATCGCATGATGGTGAATACCAAAAGTTCGAGTTTCTCAATGCTAAACAATTTTATTTTTGTAAGAGACTGTACAAAACACATGTAAGCTTATATATGTGGCTGTTATAATTTAAAATAAAATCCATCCGGCAACGTCGCAAATATATGAATGGTGTGACTTCCTCATACTAATTTGTTTTGGTTCAAACAGAACCGCTGATTCCAGTTCTCAAATACAGTGGACGAATTAATTTTTCAAGAACACGTCGCAAGGTTATAACAACCTCTTAGCTGATCGAGTGTTATTTTGTTACCCGGCGTCAAATGTAGCGATTACAATGTTGCCAAGTTATAATTATTTAACGCAACTACGAGTCGACTGCTTTAAAAATATTGTGTTTGTTTATTTTACAACAACAGTTTATTTATTAATAATTTATTTAAACACTTATTTATTTTATAACACTACTATTCTAATTTATATATATATATATATATATATATATATATATATATATATATATATATATATATATATATATATATATATATAATTAAACCAGTAATTAGTGGGTAATGCAGCAAATGAAAGAGTACTTTTTTTAAGTTTATTCCAAGCTTTCGGAAATGTTTATTTCCATCATCAGGGAGAATCTTAATTAAGGTTGTTCATTTTGGTGGTATTATTCAGTTTAGTAAAAATACAAAGTAAAATGGACAAGCTGAAGTCAATTACAAAATAATATTATACACAAACAATAACTACGATACTTTAAAAAATAAAAAATATAAATAACGAAAGGTCAATTTGACATGACAAGTAAAATTTTAAATAAATATATATATTTCGAATGTCTTTAAACTGTTCACTTCCATATAATAACTGATTACCTGTGTTCCTCCACCAATATTTATATATAAATTTTAAATTATTGGTGGGGCTCCAGAACGTTCTCGCCAAAATTAGAAACACTATCACGTTATATTTGGAATACACCAGAAACATCCCGTTCTTTCTCGAATAGTCATCGAAAGCTCCTCCGCCATAGTTGTCACATATGTTTGGTCTTAAGGAGTTTAATTATGTATGATGATCGGACAAGTTGAGCCTCAAAGGCTAAATAAGACAGAGAGGGACTTGGAGGATTAGAGCATGACTGAATAATGAAATGGCTCACATTACAATATTTTTATTTTAAAAATCTATAGCTTTTTACCGAGACGGTCAAAAAATTACGTCTGTAGTATCTGTCCGCACCGTTAAAACATTTTTCTGGAAGAAGCAAAAATATTTTAACTGAGATATTATCCCAACCTGCAGCTTTTTATTTTTGATACTCGTTACCATGTCTTTAATTTCATCAATATTTACAGGACTAAAACTAATCGTATTTGATATGTTCACATGTTTTAAGTAATTTATTGGATCATAAGACATGTCAATTTTATTAGTTAAATTTAAAGCTACTGAACAATATTAGTTGTTTAATTCATCAGCAGTTACGGTAATATTGACAGGATTACTATTTTTCCCTCATAATCAGGATCTTTTTGTATATTACTGGCGTTTTGGATCCTTTTTTGTAGTGGCTGCCTTAATTATAGATAGAACGGTAACTATTAAAATATTTATTAAAAACATGTTTGTTTATCATCGTTAACAACTTTTTTTATTTCATAAAGACAATGCATATTTTTTACTGATATTCTTATACCCCTAGTAACCCACATTTTTCGGTTTAACTTTAATAGTTTTCTCGGGATAAGCAGGCATGTATTTAATTCTTTATTGACTCTGATGATTAATTTATTTTGTATTAAAAAAATCTTCTGATGAGTGATAGCTAAGTTTTATAGTTATTAAATAGAGAACATATGAGATGATACAATTAAAGGTACCCATTCCCTAAATAGGTCGCTTGCAGGCTGTCGCCATAAGGTGTCTTGCCTTGAGACAAATATTCTCCACACATACGCGGGGGGGGGGGGGGGTGTCATTCCTTGTCCGAAGGCGTGATCTTTCATGCAGTTTAAAATTTTGTCTGCAGGCCAATAAATTTTTGGAATTTTTCCCTGCATGTAGTCGAAAATATGAGCGTAAATGGGTATATTCAACCTGACCTTATAACAGGACTGATAGATATTTATAAAATGAATCTTATGGAAAATAACGTCCAAAAATTATTCTAACAAACCAATGCGAGAAAAAGCAGATTCGTAAACTTTATAAATAATTTTACACATTTTAGGTATGAGGACCTTTGTGGAAATAAGCGTTTTTAAATGTATAGTTTTACAGGGGTGGAAACTTATTGTCCATAAGGAGACCATTTTTTAAATCGTCTGTACTTGATTTTCGCCGTTTTTTTTTAATAAGGCCTATGTCTTTTTCTTCTGAGAAGCCAATCTATTTCCCAGAATCCTTTACGTTGCCTAACTGGCTTCTCCAATAATAATAAAAGCAGTTGTGGCTGGCGAGGGAGGACGCTGGGGCGCCGCCCTCCCTGCGAAATAGCAGGAGTTATCTGCAAATTAGTAATTCCATATACTTAATCAGTAATTTTATTTAACTCCTCCTAAATTTTTTAACAATAAAAGAGTCAATCACAAATAAATGCAATAATAAAGTTTGTGACCGAATAATTATAAAAACCTACCATTTCAAGATATTGAAACATTGTGTAAAGCATGTCCTATGGTAGATAAGGAAGCTTTAAAAATGGAACTAGGTGTGTTTTATTCCCGAGAAGAAGTAACCGCGCTACATTCTGACTCTGCCTCGGAATCTGCGGACTCCAATGAAATTGAAAGTTTTTCCGAGTGCTTACACGTACACACATTGAAATTTATTATTTCTTTTGGTTTAGAAAGTGTTTTTAAAGAAATTGTGAAAGTTTTAAAAATGTTGGTTACCATTCCTTTGACGACTTCTGAAACTGAAAGATTTTTTCCTACATTAAAATTAATCAAATCGTTTTTAAGAAGTACAATGAGCAAAGAAATGATAACAGCATTGACAATGCTATCTACTGAAAAAACTATGGTGCATGAAATTGAAAACTTTAATAAAAAAGTAATTGAAGACAAAAATCATTGGATGATTTTTCATTTCAAAAGTTAGTTGTTCAGTTAGTTGGTAAGTACCTACCTACCTGTATTTTCATATTTGTAATTTTTGGTTGTACTTGTTAAACTGCATATTCAAATGACCCTGTGATTTTTTTTTATATTGATTTTTTGTGCCCTTATACCCAGCCCTCCCTATTACACAAGTCACAAGCCGCCACTGAATAAAAGTATTAATAACGCTCCAGTAGAGGATTAAACTTATTACCATGATACACCTAAACTGACAGTGTGTAGGGAAATTTTATATCTGTAGGGCCGATACCTGCAGATTTTGCCTGAAAGACGGATTGAATAATGTGTGGCCTGTCGACACGAACGTCAGTCCACGACCTGCAGGCAATCTGTTAGTGAATGGGTACCTTAAGACGACAATCTACAAATCCAACAAAAATTTTTTCTGATTTAATCTACGCTCACGTACCTTAGGACCAACAAAGTTTGAGATACACAGAGTGGAAGAAAAGTCTGGAAACGTCTAACTTTCTGGAAAACTTTTCAGAAATCTACAAAATTTGTGATCTACGGGTTTAAAGACATACAGATTCCTATTTTATTTTCATCGTTGCCAGATTTTTACCGTTATTCTGATAATATTGGTCACTTTGGTGAGCGAAGTAACCAATATTATCAGAAAAACAGCCAATCTAGCAAGTGGAAAAAATAACAAAATAGTAATTGCCTTTTCTTTAAACTCCCAAACCTCAAATATTGTAAATTTATTCCAACCCGTTTTCCTTAAAATTGAACGTTTACAGACTTTTATTCTTAATGCTTAATTAATTTTAACTTAGAAAAACTTATTTCACCACTTGCTACAGTTATTGGTATATTTGGCCATATTCTTAATGAAATACTAAGGTTTTTAACAAAATTTTACTTTATTATTAAATTTAATACATTGCTTTCTTTTTTACCCAAAAGTGCAGATACTTCTGTAATTTATGCTAATTCTACCCAATATATGTCAACAGAATCACCATCAGTTAAAATACATTCCAAATTCTTACAGTGTTTTTGTATCGTTTCTTTAGACATGTTATTGTAAATGTTTTTAGCTTTTAGACATGTATAAATACGAACTGTAAATTGTTAGCGAAAGAAAAATCTAGATATTTAACATATATTTCTAACATTTACAACCAAAATGTCGCCCTAGAATTTTGGTGGCCGCGATAGTCCTAATGTGTGGACTTTTCGTTTCACTGACATGCTCTAGTAGCAAAATGACAACTTTCAGTCCTCATTAAACAACTGTGAATTCACTTTACCACCATCTGTATTAAATAATTTAAAAATATTTGACGGTATCTATATATATTTACATTTTCTATCTGGTGTTTATATTTTAGAATCGGAATGATCCTCTAAGACTGTCTCTAAGAATAGAAGCCAAAGCTCCAATGATTCTTCTTCCTGTGAATTCCACATCATCGAATGTGATAGTAGTCGATCTAGGTGAACTATTTGTATCGAATTCATTTAAATTATCTGGTGATGAAGGTACCATAAGTGTAGCCTCAGATAATTCTAATAGAAAATGTCTACTTGATGTTATGATGATAAGTTTAGAAAATACTGATCTGTACATGGCCATAAAAGAAATTGATTCAAATACAATGAAAAGATCGACGACTGGTTATTTAAAATTCGGGGACAGTCGGATTTTCAAAATGGGTCCATCTTTACTTACAAAAAAATTTCAATTAAAACTCCAAATTGAACAAAATCTAGAAAAGAAAAATACCCATATTGTTCCTGATATGAGT